CAGCCCTCTCAATCAAAATGGAGGCACATCTGCTCCTGAAATGCTGTGTGGCTTTATGGCTACGCACCAAGACACGGAAAACAGAACCTGCCCGCATGTTCAAGCATCTCCTGCTTGTCCGCCAGACTCCATGAAATCACATACAGAGTTTTGCACACAGCAATGAGACTTAAATATCAGTAACACCTGCCGTTTTGTTCATGCATTTAGTGAGTATTTACTGCAAACTGGCTGCATGCAAGGCAGCATGCTAGCAACTAGGGGCAACATCAGGGATGAGATATGTACACTGACCTCAAGTGGCTTACTGTCTAGTAGATGAAATGAGATATGCACATTATCTGTAACACAGAGCACAAAGTAATAAAAACCACAACAGAGGAGCAGATAAAGTGTAACAGAAGCATCCTACACATATTGAAAGGATATTATTACGTCAATAAATCAAATATATATATGATGTATTTTTATTAACCTCATTCATTTTAAGGTTTAACCTGGACAGTGATGGTCACTGATTTTACTAACTGGCAATTCCATTAATGCCCAGAGCCAGCAGCTGATATTGATCAGCAGGTCATAGTGGCAACAGGAAGATGGAAAGTTTCTGAATGAAGCTGAACTCTGGGGCTATTATTAATAGTGGATATTAAGAAGATGGATATTTTTTTTCTGATGGCCAAAGTTAGAAGGAAGACTGAGCTTTTGAGTGAAATCTGCCATTGTTCTGTTGCCTTTGCCCTCAGGAGACTTGGTTTATCCCGCAAGGTGCAAGAGCCGTGTCCTAAAACGCTCTTTAATGGAGGAGAATAAAAATCAGGCTCATTATCAGGATGAAGTAGCTAACATCCTGTTTCCACCTAAGTCAGCTTAGAGAAGCCATTTACTATATTACAACTCTGTCCTCCCCTGCCTTATCCCACACCAAAAGGTACACATTGGATTTAGGAGATTAATTCTGCTTGTGGAACTGCCAGCTCTCGCAAACCCTCATAATCAGAGTTCAAGAGGGAAATCAGTGGTGCTACAGCAGGGCTTGACAGAAAAATATGTCTGGGAGTATGGAATTTCTATTTCCTCAAAGTAATATACTTCAAAGAAACTAGGTATAGGAGTTTTTAATTTTGCTACTTAGATACAAAGCCCTCTCTTCTGCTGTGCTCTGACACAGGAAACAAAGTTACGTGGCTAGCTACCTTTTGTAGTCAGCAATGCATATTTTTTCATGGACCTCCTTAATTAATGCAAACAGACTTGCCCCATTCTCCATCATTTCCACAATTACATTTACTTTTGCCTCTGTGTCTATTAGTGGGGGGAGGGGCATATTTGTATAGGCATCTCCTAGTTACCAGAATGCATTTAACTGGGAACTGAGTTCCTCAATGTAATGAAATCACATTTCAGAATGGAGCAAACCTCTTAAGGTCACATGTTTAAAGAAAAGGAAGATTTTCAAGCATATGACATTATTAAAAATATTAGCAATGAAGTCAATGAAGAAGTCTATGAAGTCTATCCATTGAGTTTCTAATATATCAAGGTATGTTACTAGATGCTATATGTGATTTATTTAAAAGTTGAATATTGGTCCCTATTTTCAAGGAGCTTATAATCTAGTCGGCAAGAGAAGTTTAAAATTACACACAAATTAGATATAAGATTTAATAGTAGAGCAATACCAACATGTCTGCTAAGTTCAGGGAGCTTAAAGGATGGAAAATAATGAGAATAAATGTTAAATTTCATTTTGAAAGAGCCTGGAGTTGTTGGAAAATCATCAAGGCTTTAGGAATTTCTACCTTTCGGAAAGAAAGACCCACTTTGTGAGACATGGTAAAGTTGATGGCCCTACAGGCAGGAGTTTCAGTTTTTGTGTTCTGTTTTCGGTCTTTTTAATTTTATGTTTTATGCTAAAATATAGCATGACACTTAACCTTGCAAATATTCTTCTCCTTCACCTAATCTCCAAAGATGATTATTTTTTTTTAATTTTTTTTTAATGCTTGTCTATTTTTGAGAGAGAGACAGAGAGACAGAGCGTGAGCAGGGGAGGGTCAGACAGAGAGGGGGACACAGAATCCAAAGCAGGCCCCAGGCTCCCGAGCCGTCAGCACAGAGCCCGACGTGGGGCTCGAACTCACGAGCTGTGAGATCACGGCCTTAGCCGAGGTCAGACACCCAACTGACTGAGCCACCCGGGCGCCCCGATGATTATTTTTAACAAGAGTTTCAATTAGAAGTGCCTGGGTGGCTCATTGTGTTGAGCATCTGACTTTGGCTCAGGTCAGGATCTCATGACTCATGAGTTCGAGCCCCGTGTCGGCTCTGTGCTGACAGCTCGGAGCCTGGAGCCTGCTTCAGATTGTGTCTCCCTCTCTCTCTGCCCCTCATGCCCCACTCATGCTCTGTCTCTCTCTCAAAAATAATAAGCAATAAAAAAAATTTTTAAAGAGTTTCAATGAATTAAGGAATACTTGCATTGTTCAAATCATATTTCATCTGGTTTCTTCTATTTTAAGGATACTGGAATGAGTATTAACTTCTCTGGATGCTCTGAAGCCTATAGTAGGAGCTACAGAATCACAAGCGCATTATCGGCTTCATAAGATAGGAATGCTGTTTTAGGGAAGTTCAGATTCCATTTGGTGGGTGTTTTCATAAACAACTGCACTTCTAACTTCAGTTTAAACAAAACAGAAATCTTAACTGTCAACCAAAATAACTCTTAAACTTGAGTTTTAACATGTCATATTATGGGAGTCTGAGCTCTCTGTCTCTCCTCATCTCCAATATGCAACGAGCCCAGAAACGTGCAAAACTTAGAGGAGACATCAAAATGAAAGCTGAATATTTGGGTTCAAATTGCAGAGGAAGAAAAGGAATATTTTGGAGAATCACAAGGGATATGTCTGTTGTGATTGCTTTAAATCAATTTAAGCACGTGCTGCATTTTAAGTAAGTTGTTTGCCTGGTTTGTTTTATTTTTAATAAATAAACATAAAACTATAATCTTAAATGCAGGGTGAGAATCCAGATAATTGCTTTACTTTTATAATTGAGAGCATCTGTGTCTCAAAACATCATAAGTCTGAGAGCTACTCTGGGGATGACACACTGTGCATTCAAAATACTAGAAGAGGAGAAGTTCTTAGTGAAATAACAGCGCACCTATGGTCACTGTATCAGTGTTTCTGAATTTTTATTTCATCCTTTGAGGGTTTTCCAGAAATATGGACCTTTCATATGTTTAAAAAAGGTAGGATCAATTGCTTTGTTTCTGAATTAAAAACTAAAGTATCCCCAAACTATCCAGCTTCACATCCACACACAGGAATTCTAACATCATAGTTCAAAGCTTCTAAGTCTAATTACTGTGCCAGTATTAGGATTATAATGCACCCCATTCTTGATTATTCAAAGACTAATTATCTAGGCCAGGCACTTAAGCTTGTCCCTATTCCCTTGGTTTTCTGCCATTTGGTTATTTTAAGGTTCACTGGCCTCTTCACATGCCGGGCAGAGGAAATAGAAGATGAAATTCAAATCAGCAAATTTTAACTTCTCATATGATCTACTAAAAATTATGGGATAGAGGAGGAATAGCTAACGGGACAATTGAGGTTCTCCATGTATTTGATTTATTAATAGTGTTGTCTTTCTCCAATGATAAGCTGGCCAGATGTCTTGAACTAAGTAAAAGAACACTTGATTTTGACTCTTTGACCTTCCTATTATTTCACTTTATTGATTAATTTTGTCCCTGGGATTCCAGTTCTTCCTCCCTTTGTCCTTCCTTCTCCCTTTCCTTCCTCACTGTCAGCAGGAGTTACATTTATTTGCTAAATGACAGCCCTTTTATTTCTGACTTTGAAGGGGAATCCCTAGGATTTCCAGGCCTTTCCTACCACACTTTTAACTCTGCTAGGTTTGCTAAGCTAGACCCTCAACGCTATATGCTTACATGCTACCCCAAACAGAGAATGGGGTGTGGCCCTGCTGTAGCTCCCTCGGCTGCAAGTTTTATCATGTCTTGTCACTTTAGATGCTTCTACAGACGTTTAAGATGACCCACCATCCAGCCACATCGCTCACTCCACTCCCACTATGTACCTCTGTAAGTGACAAGATCCTTAGCCAATAGAATATAAATCAGAGCATTATTTCTTTCAGTCCTGTCTCTCCATCATTCCTTGTTTACCAGCCAAACCCACAACAGTTTCCTACAGCTCAAACTGTCAAGGATTCAATCAAAGTTCAGGCCACAGGAAGGAAGGATCCCCAGGCAAGAATAAGCCTATGAATAAAACTCCCCAAATTCAAAGGATTCATCTTCCATTGGCTCCATAGAGGCACCAAAACCCCTGTTAAGCCTGTAATCTTCTGTCCAACATTAGAAACCACAGGTCCTAGACATAGCCCCAATCCTGAAGGGAAATGAGCAGCTGTCCTCCATATTCCCAAAGCCTAAAAGGTGTATCATGGTTCCAGGATCATGAGGGAAGAGAAGAATTAGGTTACAGGTCACAGGCTCATATTCTGTTGTCTCATGGTCTATTCTAGTCTGGTCTATGTTATGTGATGAGATGACTCATGTATCTGTGTATCTATAGTTGTATCTACATTAACTACACCTATATCTATATATCTATGCCTACACCTATGCCTATATCTATCTAGCAGACACTAAGTGGTTTATACGTATCATATCTCTCCTTACAGCAACTCTGAAATAGGTACTACTAACATCTATCACACATGAGAAACTAAGGTTCAACTTGCCAGAAAATGGCAGTTGGCTTCAAACCCAGATTGTCTGACTCCAGAGTCCATGCTCATTCTATTACACACCCCAGCCCTATATTGAGTCTTATTCCCTCATTTTCCCCACATCTCAAATTGCCACCAGCTAAAGCTTATTAGCTAGTCGATAAATAAGACTTCATTCCTGCAATAACTGACCACTTAAGACCTTCCATGTAAGACTACTCTAACTTTACCTCTACACCAGGTTGTAGATTGTAGATCCTTCCCAGGATTCTCCAACTCAGGCCAGGGTCCCCAACAAGAAGACTCTTTTCCAGGTCTCCTTTTCACAGAGTCGACCATGAAGAGCTCAGAAAGAAGGGGAAAAAATGGTATTAACTACAAATGTGTAAATGGCATGTGGGAGCACAGATGGCAAAGAATTGGAAATAACCTAGAAAGTTGACACCAATGGAAAGATCCCAGTAAGTAGTAACATATAGCAATACTTGATATAGCAATTAAAACAAATAAAATAAAAATATTATAGACATTCCTGAAAGATACAAGATAGACTTTAACAAATGGAAAGTTTCCCCTATTTTTGGATAGGATGATTCAATATCATAAATATGTCAGCTCTTTCTAAGTTTATTTATAAATTTAACTCAATACCAATAGAAATGCCAACAAGATTTTCTGTGGTATTAGGCAAGTTGACACTAAAGTTCATATGGAAAAACAAACATGCGAGAATGGTCAGAAAAATACTGAAAAAGAAAACCTATGAGGTTGTGGTAAGGAGGGGGAATTAGCCCTTACCAGACATTAAAACATGCTAGAGAAAGCTTGCAAGTTCCTATTTAGTCTATAGGCTAAAGACAGGCTTTCAATCATGGTTCAAAACTCTGAGACAATTTAAAAAAAAAATTAATAAAGCTTGACTACATAAAAATTTTTGTATGGCAAGAGAAAAAACAGTATAAACAAAGTCAAAAGACTTTGATAAAATAGATGAAAACATTTGCCACACATACCACATGCAAGCAGCTAATATCCCTAATATACAAAGAACTCTTAAAAAGCCAAAGACAGGGGCACCTGGGTGGCTTGGTCGGTTCAGTGGCCAACTTCAGTTCAGGTCATGATCTCGTGGTTCATGAGTTTAAGCCTCATGTCAGGCTCTGTGCTGACAGCTCAGAGCCTGGAGCCTGCTTTAGACTCTGTGTCTCCCTCATTCCCTGCCCCTCCCCCAGCTCACTCTCTCTCTTTCTCTCTCAAAAATAAATAAACTTAGAAAAAAATTTTTAAAAATCCAAAGACAAAATCTTAAAATGGAAGAATGACATGAAGGTAAACACACAAACACACACACACGATCTAAAGTGGCCCTTAAATATATAAAAAGTGATTAAACACACTCAGAGAAATGCAAACTGAAACACTGATATCCCATTTCTCATTTATTAGATTGGTGAAAATTATAAAGTAAGACAACACATTCTTTTGGTGAGGCTGTAGGGAAACAAGCACTCACATACATTACTGATGAGAAGGCAAACTGATGAATCCTTCTGGAAGGGAATTTGGCCACATCTAACAAAAGTACACATGCACATATATTTTGACTGACTATTCCACTTCTAGGATTCTAGCATAAAGACAGATCTCCAATAATACAAGAATACAGACTGACAAGATTATTCATTCCAATATTGTAATTGCAAAATATTAGAGACAATCTAAATGCCCATACACAGGAGACTAATTGAAAAAAATGTGGTACATCACACAATGGAGTACTGCATTACATCCAGCAGCAAACAAGGAAAAGGAAGATCTCTGTGAACTGATATGTAGGGATTTCTAGAACAAACTATTAAGAAAAAAAAAATCAAAGTACAAAGGGAATATCTATAGTATGTTATCCTTCATCTAAGAAAGACGGGAATGTAGGAAAACATGCATCTGCTTATTTGTACAAAAGGAATACAGGAAGGATAGACCAGTAACCAATGAGCATGGTTACTTTGTGGTTGTTGGTGGAATAGAAAAGGCAGAAGAAAAAAGGGGGCAGAGGAACAGGTAGTAAGGATGGGGGGAGCAATATTTCTCTGAATACAGCTTTTTATGTAACGTTGACTCTCAGAACCATGGTAAAGTTTCATGGTATTATATATACTGTGGATAATGAAAGTCAGGTTTCCAACTGTCACAGAAAAAAGCTACAATTCAGGAAAAGCAAAAGGCTAGAACAATGTGGTGTTAAATTGGAATCAGAGGTATCAGCATGAACTCATGGATTTTAATATACATACAGGTGGATACATACAGAAATAAATCATACACACACACACACACACACACACACACACACACACACACACACATATACACTTCCTAGATCTGTCCACTTGATAGAGAGCCTAGAAAAAAATGGCGCTCGGTCATTCAGGCACAGACACCTAGTGCCCAGGCCCTGGTTTCTAAGTAACATTCTCCAATGAACATTCCAAGGACCTGGGCTCCTTGGAAAAGTGGTCAGTTCTACAGCTGGGATAGGGAAAATACAAGATGAGCCTGAATGCTGATGTGTCGGAAAGTAACAAAGTGCTCAAAAAAGCAACGGACCTGTTAAAAGGACACAGAAGCCAACCTGAAGGAGCTCTTAATAACCAAAGCTGGGACAATTTGAGCAACAAAAGGACAATAATAATAATAGTAATGGAAAAAAATAGTAATGGATTATAACCCACAGAATATACAATAAATACTCATGAGACCATATTAGTCTAGATAAATAATCAGAATTAAACAGGGGATAAGCTAGTTACAAGAAGGCAAACACTGTAATATTCCTCATCTATGACATTTTTGGGGTAAATTTCAGGGACACAAAGTAAAATGGTGAAGGCAGGAATGGGGAGGTGATGTTTAGTGGGGACAGAGTTTCAGTTGGGGAAGATGAAAAAGTTTCTAGAAATGGATGGTGGTGATGGTTGCACAACAATGTGAATGCCCTTAATGCTACAGAATTGTACACTTAAATGTAGTTAAGATGGTAAATTTTATGTTATATATATTCTACCACAATAAAATTTTTAAGTGTATTTAGAAAGCAAAAATAAAAACAAATAATAAACAGAGGAGAACGTCCGGCTCCTCCTTACAGTAGAACTCTAATGAATGCAGAAGGAATGAGGGAAAATAAGAAAACCTCCAGGGGCGCCTGGGTGGCTAAGTCGGTTAAGCATCCGACTTTGGCTCAGGTCGTGATATCACAGTTCATGAGTTCAAGCCCTGCATGGGGGTCTCTGTTGTCAGTGCGGAGCTGCTTTGGATCCTCTGGCTCCCCCTCTCTCTCTCTGCCCCTCCACCACTCACACTCTCCCTCCCTCTCAAAAATAAATAAACATTAAAAAGAAAAAGAAAATCTCCAGTAGGCAAACACTAGAATATTACTTGCAGCAGCAAGAACTATTGATGGATGTTAAAATTATTGAGCAAATGAGAAACAAGATATTTGCACAGAGTATCTCCCCCAAAAGATACTTATTAATTACAAAGGGGAAGATATGAACTTTAAAGTGGAGACACTTGGCAGATACCATCCTAGCTACATGATCAAAGGTACCACCACAACTTGTAAGACATGTCAGCAAAGAGACACAACACCTTTTCTGTGATATTCCTGCCAAAATGCACGATCTAGACCCCATCATGAGGAAGCATCAGATATACCTGAACTGAGGGACATTCTACAAAATAACTGGTCTCTAAATCTTCAGAAGAATCAGGATCTTTAAAGTCAAGGAAAGACCGGGGAACACCTGGGAGAATGAAGGAAACCGAAGAGACATGACAGCTAAATGTCAACATGTTTCTGAACTGGAACCATTTTCTATACAGGACATTATTGGTACAGTCAGAGAAAGTGGAATGGTTTGAGGATTATAAGGTAGTAATATGTCAGTGTTAATTTCCCGATTTTGATGATTGCAATGCAGTTATATAGCAGAACACCCTCACATGTAGGAAACACACACTGAAGTATTCAGGGGTAACAGGACATCAGGTTAGCAACGTATTCTCAAATTGGTGAAAAGGAAATTACTGGTACTTAACTTGCATGCATAAATTTGAGATCTTGTCAAAATAAAAATATAACTAGTATTAAAAGATAAAGGAATTACCTCACATAATTCCAAATGCAGAGAATTGAGGAAGGAGTAAAGAGGCAAAGAGCAAATCAAAGAGGCATCATTGGAAGAAATAAGAGCCCAGAATGGCTAAGAATTTTCCAAGCTGAGGAGGAAAGAAAGTCTCAAGTCCTCAGAGTGAATGTTTACATCAACTGCCAAGACAGAATAACAAAAATAAATCCACATCTAAGCATACCATAGTGAAAATTCTGAACAGCAGGGATAAAGCGAAAATCCTAAATGCTACCAGGAGAGAAGACAGATTACCTACAAAGAGGCAGTCATTAGGCTGAAAGCAGGCTTCTCATGGGTGAATTGACACCAGCAGATGGTAGGGAAATAACTTCCAAGCAGAAAAGCGAAAATAACGAGAACTGTATATGGAGCAAAACCAGTGTCATTCTGACTGCAGTAGGTCTCAACAGGATATCCCTCAGCAAGAAGAAAACTGAACCCAGAAGGAAGGAGTGGGACATAAGGAACATACGTGGCAAAGAAATTAACAAAATATATTGGTAAATCTATATAAATATTGATTGCTAATAATAATCATAATAACTAATTTTTTGCCTTAATTTAAAAACTGGTAAAACCAACAATAAAATGGCAGATTGAAGAAAGGATTCTTTGGGTACTTAAAGCCCTGATAAATTTCTTGTCTTGTTCAGAAGGAGAAGAGAATGACTGAAGAGTTATAGACTTTGGGCAGAGAGCTTAAAGTGAACGTTAAAAATGTAAAAAAAAAAAAAAATTTAAACATAGAATCTAAAATTTTCAAACTCCTGGAGTAGAGGTTGAGGAAAGAATAATAAAAATGCATAAATCCAAAACAGAGCAAGAAATTATTTTTAAGTAGGTAAAACTTGGTAAATAAAAAATAACGTAAGGTGGTAGAAATAAGTCCAACTATGTCATTAATCACAATCAATGGAAACTGATTAAACTCAGCTAAGCAAGTTATTTGTGGATAAAGGAGTAACATCAGCAATGAGAAACTTTCAAGGGACATACATAAAACAAATAAAGAAAATAAAGAGATGGAGAAAGATAGCCCAGGAAAATACTAAGCAAAAGATTTTGAGTGAGCAATTGTGATCATAGATAAAACAGAATTTAAGGCTAAAGCATTAACAGAGATAAAGAGCTTCATTCTAAAATGACTTTTTG